TTGGCAAAGTAGGAAGGAACGATTGGCCATCGGTGATCGGTCCTGTGGGAACAATGCTCCGTCCTCCCGAGAGGACGCGTGATCAATGGTTTAACTGCTGAGGCATGCAAAACATACAGAGTATCCCCCCCCCCCGCCCAATAAGCCAGCACTTACCCTCTCATCCACGTAGGTTGCCGCAAGCCTTACGCTGCTCTTGGGCCCCGACCGAATCGTCAGGCCGTGTTTACCCAGGAAGTTTATCAGCGGCGGCCCAAAGGAAGCCTTGACAAAGTTAGGCTTGTCCGGAATTGCCTATGCACGTATGCACACGCCGCCAAAAGTCGGGCCCAGCACAACGGGCGATCAGCGGGCCAAAAAACTTACATAAGAGGCGCAACTTTTCCTAAATGAGCAAGGTGGCCATTGGCGGTCACGTTTTTCGCACGTTGACTTCTTTGTCGGCGGCGAGTGTTCAGAGACAAATCGGTCCCTTTGGCGGTACTTATTTTCTGAGAAACACATTCACGCCTGGCGGAGACGCACGTAGTAGGCAACGGCCCGGGCGGCAGCAACGTGGTAGCACACATGCATGTAGCTGCTTCGAGATGGCGCGCCAGCAGCAGCTCAATGCAACAAACAAACGCAAAATGTACCAAGAACCACACCACACCATGCCACACTGCATGCACAATATCACAGCTAGACGCAACAAACCAACCAAGTGGTAAGCAAGCAGCACCCCAAACCGCCTGCAGCACACGCTTTCAGGCGGATACTAGACAATGAAACAGAGAACGGTGGGAAGGATGAGTGCTTTCTTCTGTCGACGGGCAAGATTGTTGGGGTCGCAGCCCCTTAGTCAGGCGCGCGTTTTCTCGTCCTTCAACTAACGGTGCCGTTACCTTTTGCAGAATGCCAAAAACAATGTGATACTCCACGGTGCCATCCATTGCTGTAGACAATACCGCCGTACGTTCCCTTTGTTTGTTTCTGAACCGATGCAAACGTGTCAACGTGTCGGGGCATTTCCTGAACCAGAACATGACGATGCCATATAGCGACAAAGGGCCGGCGCACCTTAAAGTCGCCTCGCAAGGTGACGCACCCCTTGAGCAGTCCGAACGCCCTGAAGACGACCATGTTAACCGCCGTGGCAGGCTCCACGAGGTGCTGGAACATCTCCTCCGTCCTGCTCAAACCAGGAGGGGAAGGGCCACGAGGGTGACTACGGTGGGCGGGCGAGTCCCATGCGCGCTATGACGTGTTGGTAGTTGATCCTGTTAAGAACGTTGGCAGCTACTGGCTTTTGAAAATAGCTCTAACGCCCTGCGTTGAGTGGGGACGGGCGATAAAAACAAACCCGGCTGCAGCAAAAGGCGACGACTGCAGTCAGATACCATGAAGAAACACTACACCAGGGCAAGCGTGCCATCGTGCACTACTACTTGCTGGAAGCGAAGGAGGTGCATGAATGCTAAGGTTGAGGTATGCTCCTGGCACCATGAGGCACCCTCAGCTATTGGCTGTAGCTGCCATACTTGTGAGACTTTTTTCAACAAGACGCACAGGCTCGATTTGTGCATACGGAAGGCCGCTGACTGGTGGCCCACCGTAGCTCAAGAGACACACTGATGCACCCATTTGCCCCGGTGCCAGCAAGTTTTCCCTTGTAGAAAAGCGGGATACAATGGTAGGGCGTGGGAGGGGGACGCTTGCCTGAATAGGGAGCGGCCTACCCGGCCCCTCCAACGGCCTCCCGCTGGGTTGCCCCGCTGCGAGGGGCCCGAGCTCACGTAGGCGACGTTGTAGTTGCCGAAGACGCGACTGTCGTTCAACCAGTCTTTGTCCGCGCCCAAGGTGTTGAGCTGTCGGCAGTACACGGGGGCGCCGTGGTTGCGCCGTGGGACAGGTGGGGTTAGCCGCCTTGGGATCAGTTTGCCGACGGGACAGCGAGCAGCAGGCCTTCCCCTGATGATGCGTCGCCCACCATAAACAACAAGAGAACGAATGATGCAACACACCCAAACCATGCATCTATCTCAGACACGTTGGTTGAGCAGAAAAAGGCATGGATGGACACGTTTTCAGGCGATGACATTCACGTGCCACAGTTCAAACATTCTGGGCTCTGTATATATCGAACCACAACATTTCGTTTTGAGTGCGAACCTGTGTTAGGTGTTAGGTGCAATTAGACACTGCTGCTGCTGCACCGTCGAAAGCAACGAGGAAAACAAAATGGGAAGGCGCTCGAGGTGGCACCCGAGTGGGAAGGAGACCTGACTCTGTTCGTTCCTAGACTGCCCACTTTTAGGTTTCAACAACATATGATTCAGACTCAGCAGAGGAAAAACAAGCTACCACCGGTCGACGGATCTTAGGCAGACCTGGTCGATGATTCCATCAATCTCCTTCTGTTGTTCGGGCGTGCAGTCCACTCCTCTGTTCGTGCCCTCGATCTTCCCCAGCAGAGAGGTCACGAGTTCCGCCGCCGCGCTCCCGTCATTCGCAGGAAGGTCGCCGCCGATCGGTGGAGGCGGCCCGGCCTCCGCAGACGACGCGGCCGTCTCGACCAAAACCCTCGGCGCCGCTCTCCGAACCCCTGCCTACCAATAAAATGTAGAACGGCTAGTCTTTTTGTGTGTGTTGCGTGTATATTTTCTAAGAAATAGATCTCGCCAGATTGTCATCGTTGGAGGAACGCGAAATCTGTTCTGGTGGAGTTTGGACACAGGGACGACAGGTAGTTTCACGCCGAGCCCTTGCGTGATCGTGAATCGTACAGCACACAGGTACAGGACGCGAGTATGCGCCGTTGTCCCCCTCGAAGTACAACACGTGGCAAGGGTCAACCCGACACAGCCCTCGTCATGCATATTGAGAACGATCGGGCCGGGCTGTGTTTCCGTCCAGGCACACACACAAAGGGAGCTTGAAGAGTGTCACGGGGGGGCGTGAAGAGTGTGGGCGCACGCGCTTTTTCGCGCTGATCGGAAGGTCGTTGGGCAGCACAGAACTAATCCGTTCGATAATACTCCGCATGTTTCACTTCTCAGTTGGCCAGTCAAAAACCCTCGAACAATGGCATATCCAAGCCGTTGTGGTCGGCACTAGTCTACCCCTCTGTACATAGTCTACTGCTGCTGTTCATGGCGCGCGCTTCACAGAAACCGACGCTCATATTGTTGAAGATAAACAAGAGATGGGCGTAGATAATGGGGCCCATCGCGGGCATCACACTTAATTCCATACGATGCCCTAGCTGTGTAGCCTGTACCCAATCGTTGAGACGTTGAGACACTGCTGTACGGCTTGGATCTTCGCTCCGAATCAGGTGGTTCTCTGCAAGCGGGCACTGGGAGCCGGTGGTGCTGTGTGCCAGCAATTTGGCACCTATTGCATACAAGTCGCCGGCCCGACCATAATCCAACGCGACCAATTACTAACGCAACGATGCGACTCTGGAATTCCGGTGGACTTATCCCCTTGTAAAAGCAGTCGCCATCGCTTATGTTTGAAACATGCGCTTTGTTTTGAAACATTGTTGGAACCCAGGTGCAGGAATCTCGTTGAACGTATGGATGTACATCAAATGAAAATCCGAACGAACGCGGTGTCATACCTTGTTGCTTTGGAGTGCAACCCCAGCAAACGAGAAGGAGAGCACCGGTGGGTACGTGGTGAGCAGGAGTATCCACACCGCGTTCCACATGCTCCTGTTCCCTCGCTATTTTGCCCTATATTCCCGCGCTTGTCCCGGCCCTGGTACCCGGGGCGAATGGATGAGGATGCGGCGGAATAGATTGGTTCGTGCGGCGTGTTTGGTCGACGGTTTCATTTTTTTTGCCGGCCGACGTGGAGCACGACGAACCAACGACACGCGGGCAAAATCTCGACCCATATGTTTCTGCTGTGTGTTCTCTTCGTTTGATCTTTAGCGATTTCGTATACGGGCGTCCTGTGCTTGTCACCGCAAAAAGTGTGTACAACACCGTTACATCCGTAAGCTGTAGACTAGATAGAGCGGTATCAGGCGCAGCGTGCCCATTCTCGTGCTTTCTTATTCCCTTGGTACGTTATACCGCTGTTGTTGCAGGGGTCACAGATCCTGAAGGTATCCACTTCAACGACCTCAGTATCGCAATCCATTTTTCTGCCAGCAGCTCGTGGTTGTCCAGGCCGTAGTACGGAAATATCAAGAGTGTGAGTATCAAAAGAGAGGCCATGGCGACGAAAATCAACGACGGGCTCTTCATCGGAGACGCGGAAGCATCACAGGATCCTGAATTCATCGAGTTGAATAAGATTACGTTCGTTATCAACTGTGCGGGCCGCCAGCTGCCTAACTTGTGGGAGCAGCACGGCCTCCACTACCTCACGTTCCCATGGACATCAGATCCGGACTGTACTCTCTTCGATGGAGGAAACGTTGTCATCGAGCAGGTAGGTGGGAGATATCTAGACTACATGGTACATCAGTAAGTGATATCCGAGGGTTGTGGGCTACTGCTGCTGCACACTGCTGCTGTACATACACCAACTATCTACATCTACACATACATACGCATCTTCGACATCGTGCATCTGGCCTAGTGATACTACTTTTGCAGGGAAGAAACTTCTCCATGATCAATCTGCTGTGATTCCCGCGCCTGACAACACAGCAACGTTGTACGTATGAGATGAACTCAAACAAAGCGTAGCTGGCCTCAAGGTCTATCCCTATCGCTGTACACTTTCATGTAGAAAGAGTCTTTGAGAATTCGCGAAGTAAGCCAATGAACCTCTTGTACCGATGCAATTTCCGGGCAAGACAGCGCTGATCACAGGGATGGCAACCCTGGGGGGTCGTGTTCGTGGCTGCAAAGCCAGGTCGGACACGGGCATTGACTTCTCTTGAGAACCACAATGACCACTAGATTACTAGTAGTCTAGTGGTCTTTGTTCTTCTCAACAATGACTATTAAAATATGTACCAGTTCTACCCTGAACGACATATTTCCCCCCTTCGGTGTACGAACACCATGCCTTTGTCCGCCAGATTACAAACTTCATTGACGAGGCTGTGGAAAAGGGGGACAGCGTCCTTGTGCACTCGCTTGATGGCAGAGGCAGATGTATAGCCTGTGTAGCCGCGTACCTAATGTTCAGATATCGTTGGAGCTTCGAGAAGGCGCTCGACTTCCTGTGCAACAAACGGCCGGACGCCGCTCCGAACCCCGGGTTCGTCCAACAGGTAAAGCCACGATGGTACGATATTCACTGACTTGCGCCGTGCCTGTGGCGCAGCAGCCTCCAGGCCATATGTTATCCTTCGGAGAGCTGAAAAACCGTCATCATCCCTCATCCGCCAAATGATTTGAACGTGTTGGCGACTCGTAGGAGTAGTGCGCTAAGACTCAATATCAGACAGTTTCCTAGGCAGAACGCGTTCAATGCGCCTTACTAAGTCCACATGAAATGACAACTTAATCGGTAGAGATAACGCTCTGATGCTGTTCCGCACCCTTTGTATTCGCCGGTCGATGCAGCTTTATCGGTTGGACTTGAGGCTCTACGAGCGGTGGTACGGCCAGAGCAAGAAGCCTACAGAGGACGAACGCATACGGCATGACCAATGGATACCGCTTGTCCCAGGTCATGTCCCTGGTCGAGAACGGGTCAGTCAGCCGCACAACCAAGGCTTTGAAGCGGGGGGACAGTCGGAGTTCCCCGCCCCGTCCGTCGCGTCGCGGGAGAAGAACGGCATCGCCACCGTCATTGCCGATGCTGCCGCTGGGTGCTTTGGCGGAGCGGCGTCGGCGTTCCCGTCCCTGGGGCAGCTCACGGAAGTCCAAGAAGAAGAGATCGTGCTAGTGAATTCGTTTCTCAATAGCCAGCCGCAGATCGACGCGTTGCCACCGGGCCGGGCAGACTACGAAGATCACGTCCCCAAGGAGCTGCACTGGATTGACCGGCCCCGCCTCGACAAGCTGACGGCCGCTGGCCGTCTGGGTCGAACGAAGGATCGTCGTCACCAGCATATGATACCCGTGTCACCCAGGACAGGCCGTGCAACCCCGGAACGCCCGGGAAACAGCTCATATCACGCCCTGTCAAGAGGTAACAAGACCGCGACTCCAACGATAACGGCACCGGTTGGAATCTTGAAAAAGGCAGGCAGAACAGACTTCAACTTGGTGGTTGGTGGAGGCCAGGCACACCCTCGATCGACCCAACCTGAGTCGCGTGAGGTAGGGGTACCCTTGCAAAGCGGCGATACCCCCGTCGCTGTCTCGAGCGCAGAGGGCACGGGCGGCGCGGCCCTGGCACCGATACTCTCATCGCCGTCATCATCGACACGCACGGTGGGCAGGGCTGAAGCCGACAAGGAGGTTGTCGTGGAAGACTTGAGCGACCGCTGGAGCCGCGGCGACGGCGGCACCGCGGGCAGCGGTCTCTCCGAGCACGAGACCGCCAGCAGCGGGGAGCTATCGAGCGCCGGTCACCCGCAAGGCCCCGGCGCGCTTTTGCTCGAGGACGGGACGGGAAACTCCTGCGCCGCCGAGGGCGACAACGAAACCGACACGATTTCGACTGCCGGCAACGAACCGGGCAGGTCCGAACACCGTTCGGCGAAACCCTCCTCTTCCGGGTATGCAGCACGTCCCGCCGACCGCACTCCAAAGCACGACAACCAGGGGGCGTCGCTCGAACGCGGCGTTCGAGAGGGCCGAGGCCCCGCGGCGGCAGGAAGGAAAGAGGAAAGGCAAGCTTGGGAAGGCAGTACCGGCGGCGGCGGCGGTATTGATTCTGCTGGGGCGAAGAAAACGGGGGGTGACAACGGAAGAGGTCGAGCAGATGGTTCCAGAGGCAAGACAGAACCGAACCTGCTGGAGACTACGGCGAGGTACATCGAAAAGGCCAAGGCGTCTACAACCCACGCCACCTCCAATCCGCTACCGACCAATAGGCGTACCGGCGCCAAGATTGACGTTGACGAAAAAGCAGTTACTGCAGCCACCTCCGAGACTTCCGCTGTAGCGCTAGCACACACCAAGAACCAGCTGCGAAGAGGCGGGAGCGAGGGGAGCCTGCAAAGAACGATCCCTGGTAGTAGAACAACAGGGACGACAGCGAACCCCGCTGCACAGCAAGACAACATACGCCTGCCGCAAGCGCCGGTAGGGAGACCAGCAGCAAAGCACGGGAAGACGCCCTTAGACGACTCCCCGGGGCCCGGTTGGGGTCCAGACGATATCCGACGTGGCGGTTTCGGCTCAGGCCGCCAGCGGAGAGCGGAGCCGGGAGGCGACTCCCCCGCGGCGGCAGGGGATGAGGGGTACCGACAGGGCCCCGGCAGATGGGAAAAGAATGGGACGAGGCCGTACCCGGGGGCGACCGACGTCGGCGGGGGAACCCTGCAGCAACTCGCGCAGGCACCGAACCCCCAGCAGAGGAGGCTGCCTTTACCTCGGCCTCAGCAAGATCTCGGCCAGGTGCAGTTCAACATATTGTTTTGCGTCTCGCGACGAACCCCTTGCGTGATAAACGGATAAACGAAGTTTGTGGTTTGATGAAGTCCCCCAGCTGCTGTTGCTTTTGGTTGGCTCTCTGCTCTGGCGGGGCCACCAGGGTACAGTGCGTTGGTGTAGGAACGCACAGACCGAACGCAACTATCTCGTAGCTGATACGCAACTCACCGCATACTTAACCTAACCGTGAAATGCACCCCAGGGAGAGCGCAGGCAAAGCTCGTCGGACGCAGGCCCCATATTCCCTCAGAAACGCCCGAGTAGTGCTCCACTACAGCGGCCTGATGCCCCCGAAAGCGACAGCAATAGCCCCGGCCCCGCCGATGACGCGGAAGAGGAAAGAACCCGTGGTGGTGGTGGTGGTAGCCCTGCAATCAACTGCACCCCCTCCTTCGGGGAAGGGCCGCCTCGGGCGCCCGCGTCTAGCTCCGTTGGCGCAGCAAACCAGGGGTATCCGGCTCACGGCCTCATGCCATCTGGTTCGATGGTGCAGATGAATGTCACCGCTGGTGATCGGGGGGGGGGCTTGGGAGCGGCGGCACATAGCGGGAGGGAGGGCAGCGGCGGCGGCAGCAGCAGCAGCATCCGTCCGAGTTTTCAAGCACATGGGAGCAGTGGTGGCGGTCAGAGAGAGACACGAGCGACTTTGAGAAACGGAGGAAGAGTAGGAGGGGAGGGGAGTGCATATTCCTCCATTGAGCAGAGCCGCCTAGCGCTGAAATCTTCTAGAGAAACGATCGATGCTGAGGTGAGCGGGTGGAGCCCGTGGATGATGTGGTACAACCAAGGGCGATCAAAACCCCGAATCTTGCCTTTCGCTCCTCGTAGAGTAAGAAAGGGTTGTGCACATTGGGGGGGGGAGGGGGATACTCGGGCATCGGGGTATGTGGGGGGCGGACAGAACAAAGGGGCTAGAAGTGTTGAAATGCAGTGCTTCCTTTGCCCACTCGTACAGGTCTAGCACGCGCCGATCAGATTTGTGCTAGGGTTCCATGGCAACCTCACGGGAAGCCCACCAGGAGGCCACGCACAGCAAGTGAAATCTCGTGAACCATTCATTGCTACATGCTGCCTCTTGTGCTGACCGACGCTGTACTTTTTCACAGCAACGCGGGGCCAAAACACACCAGTCCGGATACAGAAGCAGAAATATCGGATCCTTGCCTCGAGAAATACGCACGTCTCAAACGGTAGAAGACTATTCCCGGGTACGAGGCGCGGGGTCGCCCGCCGCTCTACCCAACGACCGGGCTGTCGGTGTTGGTTCCTTGAATACCGACCACGTACGTCCCCACGGGAGCCAACGTACTCCTTCAAGCATGGCTGCCACTTCTCGCGCCAAGACAACCGGAATTTTGCCGCCGAAAGCTGGCACTCTCCCTCTTCCATCGCGGAGAGGGGGTAGCAGCAGCAGTGATGGGCGGGATGGCGATGGCGGCGGCGGTGGAGGTAGCGACGACCTTCGATGGGCAAACCCGGCACCACGAGGAAGGCAAGGCCACGCGAAGGGCTCTTCGGGGGGGTACGGTTACCCGGGATCGACGGACAATCGCGGTGGTGGCAGCGTGCCGTCACGCAGACAACCACAAGACTCCTACAGGCAGCTGCTGCACGATGATGGTGGCCAGCAACGGTCCAGCAGAAGAGCAGGCGGGGCTCCGATATACCGCTCGGGGTCACCGGCTCCAGTGCGCGGTAGAAAGACTGCCAACAACGCGGCAGGCGCGGCTAAGTCAGCCGACCCGTCGCGCTTCTTGTACCAACAGAGGGCGCGTGAATCCGAAAACCCTACGTCTAGGATACCGCCTAGCTTCAGGGGATACATAGCCTCAAGTGGCGGCGGCGGCGGTGTTGCAGACAGTGGTAGGCGGGGGGCAACGGCTCGTCGGAGCCACGTACCGTCGCCAAAGACGAGAGATCGCGGGCAAAGGGCAAGCGGCGGCGACACGGCCGGGCGATACCCGGTGCCATGCGCATCACTGGTCGCCGACCGTTCTCCGGGACAGCGCCCATCGACCTCGGAGGGATTGACCGGCGGGAACGGTGCCGGGCGAAGGGGGAGGTCAGCCAGTCCAGCACCAAGGCCCTCCTCCGGTGAGACAAAAATAAACGGAGCTTGCCGTCCTACCTACCCCAAGTAGAGTCCTTGATAGCCCGTAATACGTGTCCGGTTGGAAAGTTATTGTTGCCTGTGCCACAGCAGGGCAGAACTAGTGAAGGAGAGCTGTTGAGCGGTCGAGACCCCTGTTCATCATGCAAAACCGATCCCACGGAGCACACAACGACAATTGTACCCGAAAGGTACCCGGTGAGCACTGTTTGGCTTCGGGAAGGGGCTGGGTACGTCCGAATGGATCAACATACGCGCTGCAGCACCGCTTCTATCGGTGTCCTAGTTTGTGCTACTAGACGACTTATGAGTGGAGTGAAAGTACACTGCACCACACCTACAGCACCGTCGACGTTTCACCAAATACCGAAAAAACGCGCTGGGGTTCGAACGGCAAGGTCTACGTATTACAGTAGTAGGACCACCCACGTTGTAGTTGTGATCCCCCACTTCACGCTTTGTCACCTCTCCGGCGATTGGTTTGCAGCCTCAGGTCGCCGGCGTTCTGCCAGCCCTTCGCCGGCCAGCCTGTTCACTAGCAAGATCGACCAGAGCTTCGACCGGCCTCGATGGAAGTAACGCTTAGCTTGAGGCACCGAGTATTGCGACTAACCTAACTTTCAACGATAGAACTTTGGCACCGAGAAGAATGTAAGACAGTGCGGGAAAAAAACAATGGTCGTTGGTCAAGTGGGATCCCACCAGCTGCTCAGAGAACCTACATAGTTGAAACAATGTCGTGCCGCGCCTGTCGTGGTCGAAACGATAGTCGATTTTGCAAATCTTATTTCCAAAAATATTTTCGAGTCTTTCCTCGTCACCGAATCGCGCAACGCCCACGTAGTGCCCTCAGAAGCTGACACACCACTGATACTACACGATTGCAGAGACAGGCGGTCAGGGCCTTCAGTGTGTGCTGTTATTCGGTCTGGTACTGGCACCATCGTGGTACTTGCTTCACAACGGGTGTAGCAACTTGGTTGCCATGAAGGAATACATGGGTCCTGCTTGGACGTTTCTAATTCTCACAACCTGAGTAGGTTGCCGTTGAGGGCGTGTTCAGAATAACGGCGTTCCTTTGCTTTCTCGACGGCGCAATGCATTGTTGTGCAAGTGACCACCCCAATCATACAGCCAATTCGTCGACGCCCGGTGTACATCTGTGTTCACTTGAAAATATTGTCCCTACAGAAAAATCAGAAAAGACACCCTGAAGAGCGAGGGACCGTCGTCGCTACACACCGTCCCGCTTGATGACAGCAACACACACCTTAAAGCAGACAACGAGAATCTTTTCTTGAGGGTTAGCACGGTCGCCTGAGGCAAGACGCGTCGCTAATACGACTACACGTCCACCAGCGAAACTATCTGCTTGCCGGGAAACACCTTCCCGAAACAAATACGGCCCACGTCAAAGCTTATGGGAAAGCCAAGCGACGGCCGGGCGCAGCGAAGGGATTACGCCGTGCTGTGCTTGCACGCATGCGGCTACAACTGGAGGCTCCCAGAGCAAGGGCGGTGCAAGCCTCACTACAGTACAAACCAAGGTGCGCCACAAAGTACGGGCTATTGAGGTGGTAGATTCTTAAGCACCGCTTCCTAGCGGTACGCCAATACAACAATAATGATTCTATTAAAACAACCCAAGCCATCAGTCGTGGTGTTCCACGTGAATGTCTGTCGTGTGGAGAGGCGCGTCGATGTCCCACACACCCTGGATCGAGGGATATCGGCTCTCCACCGGCTTCTTGAATTTTCGAACCTAAGACAAAGAATATAGGACCAGAGGGGGGGGGTACATCCGGCAAGATAATAGGCATTGGTGGGACACTTAACACTGGGGTGGAGATTAGCATAGTTGGTATCGAAGCGAGAACTGAAATACGCGTCTAAACGTAGGCCCTCATACGTTTCCATTGCTGGGTGCCTCAAACATTCAGTAGACGTGACCTTGAGCAATGGTATGGACAGCCTCTTGAAGCGACAACTGAAGCTCGGACGCGCCGTGTGGACGCCGAAAATTTCGGGCAAAAATTGCGTTAAGCCGCACGATCGAATAAGTGCCGCTGAAACGTTTTCAGGCGACATTGCCATAGGTCTTACACCACTTTCCCGTGCATCGCGATACCCGGCTGCTGCTGAACGTGGACTCGCATAAATAAACATAATAACCCTTGAGAGGCAGAAAATATCCAATCTTCTGCCGTTTCCTGGACCGGCGTCGAGCACAAAATGCCAACGGTTCCACCTTTTGAAGCCGCCCGTTCAAGGCACCGACCGGGTAACTTACCCAAGGTAACGGTTTGCCAAGACGGCAATCAACCTCCAAATGATGGCAAGCACGTGTGGGGTGCAGTGTTTCAGTCTGGGATTGGGCCGCGAGGATATGCATACGCTTGGCGTTTCTCTGGAGGTGCGCTACTTGAAAGGGCAATCGGTAACATATGCATAAAGGCACATTTAATTAATTGACCGTTGCGCTCGTTGAACGTTTTCATTCGCTATTTCGTGTTCCCTACAGTTCATGTTCACGGCCGGCCCAGTTTGCCACGAATCTACGTTTGAGCCTCTGGAATATTCATGGATGGTGAGAACCATGTTAATGGTCGCCAAATCTTGGGTCGAAAATGTCGAATTTTTCAAAGATTTGCTGATGAAGATTTTGTTTTCACTTTTTATGGGAGAAAATCTTCGGCAAAATCTTCCCAAAAAGTTTCAAATGGGGCAAATGTCGCTCGTTTGACAAAATGTTCGACAAACATTTTGAAATGGGGCAGGTCGCGAAATTCTTTCCAAGAGCGGCGAGATTAGTAGCCGACCGCCCCTTCCGTCCCAAACACCAACCACTGCGCAGCGCACACTCAACGTAGCAAGCTCATAGAAGGATCCGGACAACCCTAAAGTCATCGCCGTGTCAATGTTTTGCCGGCTGATACATGGCGGGTGCTCGTCAAGCGTGCACACAAAACAAACAGACCGGGGTGGTTCGGAGGGCACGGAGAAAACGTGGTTTGTGTCTCCGAACGGCAAAAAAGTCGGTTGCTTGAGAGGAGACTTGAGTACAAAACTATCCAGCTCTCGTCCTCTAGCCCATCGATTCATGTTTTGTCTTCTTGGGTGTCTTCTCCATTAACGGCGCTCATCCGGGTGTGCGTGGTTCAGCAGTGGACGTACTCAACAGGCAGGGAGGCGCATCGCTGTGAACTCGACGTGTTGAAAAAGTCTTTTTTGGGACGGAGGAACAAGCCCTCTATATTCAAGTGAAAGATAGACCGAAAAAAACGTTGTGTCCACAACTTTGCGCGCAAAACGATGTGCCTCCTTGCCGACCGAGCACGGCCACTGCCTATCCACAAGCAACCGGATGAGAGTCCATGATGCAGAACATACCCAAGAAGACAAAACATGAATCGATGGTCGAACGGGCGAGAGCTGGATAGCTTTGTACTCACGTGTCCTCTCAAGCGGCCGACTTTTTGATGTTGGGAAGCGCTGACGCACGGATTTGTTTCTTTTTGACACCGAGAACATTTTTTCTCGCACGCCCGGAGGGCTATCGCCTCACATTGGCGGGCACAGCATCAGCTCAATGCATCAAGAGCGAGGAGTCCTTTACGAGCTCGTTACATTCAGTTTCCATGACGCATTATTTGTGGTTTGTCTATCGCAAATCGTAGGGCAGCAGTAGACCACGATTCTCACCGCACTTCTGATGCGTCCCGAGAAAACCACACGACAAGACATTTTTGCGCATGAAAACGGTACTGAAATGTTCCTCTGGCACATAGCCGCGCGCAAATGTTTGACAACATTTGAAGATATATTTCCAACATTTTGAACCATAAAACATAGGTCTGAGGGTGATTCTTATACACATGGATGCCTTTCCCAAAAAAAACACGTTTCAGAATGGGCAAAAATCCGGGTGGAAAAAGTCCGGCCGTTCTTACAATACTTTCTTCCCCTCGCTGCCTCGGCAAGGTTTTGCGTAGGCATGACCCATAGCGAGGGGGGGGGTCTTTCTAGCGAGCAGGACTAGACTCACCCTCAGGGGACCGATACCTTCTTGCTGCGGCGCACCCGCCGCGAGACGTGCGTAGTGGTGGAGTTGGGTCGGCACTGGTGCGTCAGGTACAAAGGTGCAGATGCGCGGGCTTCCAGGCCGTCGGTGTAGGCAGCCATGCCCATCTCATCTTTGTGCGCGGAGGCAGACGTCATCAGAAAGGTGGACGGGCACTATGTACACGGCCCTAGGTTTGCTAGAGGGAGCTGTACTGTCTCAGTAACCTGGTTTTGCCATCAAAGGAGGAGGGGACAGGTGGTGACGAGCTGATTGGGCTGGTTGACCCTTCGGCGCGAGAATTTTCAGACCAAGAACCCTAAGTGCAACGAGGGAGAAAGCGAGGAACCGACTGGGAAGGACAGCAACGAGAGCGTGTACGAAGCGGAGCGGGTCGAGTTTGGTCGTGCTAGGACTGGCCACAGCGGCACCGGAGCAGCGGCACCGGAGGAGCGGAACCGGAGCAGGCGGACGGAATCGAACCGTGGCGCACGGACAAATATCTCTTGTATTGTCAATTATTTTCCGTTTTTTTCCTGAATACAGGTGTTGAGTGTGTGTGATGACGTCACTGGTTTTGTAGAGAGTCGCGGCAGAGGTGGCGCGGATAACCCGGGTGCCTTAATTGTGTACCTGCATCATGGAAGACCCCTTCAATGTGGAACGATTCCTAGTCAGTGTCGATGTTTACACTGCTGTGCCTAACACAGATGATCTGGATAGATTCGGGTGATTGTCAATTGNTTGTCAATTGCAATGATGGCTTTGGTTGGGCGTTCTTCTTCATTGTTTGTCCACGGGCTCATTCTGACAGCACTTCAGACAGCAGCTGCATGCGAGCTTGTGTACCATGCACCATGGTGTCATTATGCGAGCTTGTGTACCATGCACCATGGTGTCATTATTGTGCAGACAGCACTTCGGACAGCAGTACGCTGTAGTCGACAAGCATTCATTTTGGTTAAATGAGGGACAAGGGGGGTGATGCTGCTGCTGTAGTCGATTTGTAGTGTGTGGGCGTGTAGTTCAGTTGTGAGCACGCAAACGTGCTGCAGGGATGGCAGGTGTACCTCCTCGGGCTTGAGTACCCTTTCCTTGCTAACGGTGTGTGTGTTCTTTAGATCTTCTGATGGCTCTAGCATTTTTGTGACCACGGACCGAGTCTTTGCTAGATTTTGGGATTAGCAACTGACACGAGCTTGATGTGAAGAACAACAACAACAACAACAACAATGAGCCGGATTCCTGAGGCGGATTCTTGGGGGTGGGTGTAGATCAACCCAGACGACATGACCGGCGAGTGCGACCTGAGTTCTTAACGTATCGCTCCCATCAAGGGCTCCCAACAACCCTACGCTCCAGGGCTTGCCATTCTGCACGCTGGTGGTTGATGGTCGCTCGGCACGCGTCCGTAAACAAAACATATCGCATCACACCAAGCATGGGAGACGCCAAAACAGGCCAAACCGCCACGAGACAGCAAAAAGAGCCGCTTTTTTGGGAAAGGAATCCAGGTGTATGAGAATCAGCCTGAGGCGGAGAAAGCCCGAAGCCAGCGTTTGGCTGTTGCAAAAAGCGGCGGGATCTCGACCAAAGGCCGGACTCCAACAACCCTACCGAAGTACAGGGTACAGCACAACCCATGGCTGGCGGGGGAAAGGAGTGCAACATGAAGCACACTGTGCGAAGCCGCGTTCCAGTGTAGTGCGTGGTTTTTGTCTCGTCGGTCAACTACGGCCGTTGTACAGCAGCAGTGGGTGTACGCCAAAGCAGTACGAGATCGCCTAGAACGGCTGCTGCTCCTGGCTCGGCAGAGCCCGCTTCAAGACGGTAGTCAAAAAAGGGTTTGGCCTCACCTTGTGACCACTAGAATTTCTGAGCATCATGGCGTAATCCATAATTTCTCCTGGGGCAATGTTCTTGATGCCTATTGTCTTGACCTCGCCCGAAACATAGTCCCCCATGATGTAAGGGTGCTGCCCTGGTCGCAGCTCGGTTACAACCTCAGCCGCAGGCGTGTTGTTTGCAAACTCAACAATCCGGTGCCGGATGAACTCTCGTGCGCCCTTACTGCTTCCACTGTGGTTGCAGTACTTGAGCGTCAGCTTGCGCAGCTGGAATGCCCCTCGGGTGGCCATGACTATGCAACGACAGAGAGCAAGAGAGACAGCAATGTGTCCGACGTCCGACAACCGAACGCCAGACAGGAGAGACGGGGGCTCCGCATATACAGCATCAGGGAAATTAACCCGCTCTTCTCAATTTCGTCCCACATCTTGACACTAGTCTACATGCGGATGCGGATATCCGCAGTTATCCATTTCATTCGGCCGTAGAGTGAGAGGACAGGAAAAACTAGAGGAGGAACGAAGTCTTGGTCTCAATGTGATTGTGCGAAGTGCACAGCAGGTGATGGTTGAAGAAACGTGTGTTGGCGTAGTAGTAGGTGGAGTTGCATTGCACGGTTCAGTTTCAAGACGTTCTCACGTTGATCATGTTCTGTTCTCCTACGACGTGGTGTGTGGCAGCAATTTTCAATTTTCATCTTTTCGAACTGCTTGGAAAAAATCCAAAGTGCGCAGGAGCTAAAACCACTCAACAAATGGTGATGGTGGCTTTGCCCTCGCACAGGAAAAGCGTTTTGCTAAAAATGGCGGGGGCGATCTTGTTGCCTTTAGACTTGGATCGCGCTTTTCACGCATTTTTCCCCATGCGCAACGCTTTGTTTGGTACAAATCAGCACAACAACGCTTTGAACAAATCACCAATTCGTTTTGAACATACAGGGAAACGCAACGCAGAAAACCGTCGACTACAACCATTGCTCACCGCGTCGATGAGCAACTGTAGTTAACGTACATTGTACGCTGCTATTTTCTGATTTTTGTGGGAGTTGTTCCTGAGTAAAAAGCGCGAAAAGAGTTTAATAGGGCCCCAGATGTCCCCTATGTATGGGAGGTGAGCAAAAAGTAAATACGCGCACAGCAGTGAGACCATTGTACCCATTCGAGATAAAACCACAGCCATTTCGTTCATTCTCCTCATTCGTAAATCACTCATCGTTGGTAGCTTCCACGTTGTCCAACAATAATAGTCTCAATCTCGAACAGGGCTCGTTGTAGATTGCACGTCGAGCAACAAGATACCATTAAAGAAAGGTGGCGCGGAGTGCGCAAGCTGCTCCTTGATGAAAAATGAACGCCGAGTTGGTCGATCGGAAAATAGATGCGAGTGCTGAGTACAGCGAGTGTGAGGAGAATAGAGATTCGATTATTTTTGGCATCTATATGCACGTGATATGAAGTACCTCTTACTTACTCTGAAAGTAGGCGCAATCCAGCCTAACCAACCAAAATGTTGAAAGAACGCAGCAGCAAAACTCCACAAAGCAAATCGTGGACATGAAGGTATCCCCGTTTTGAACAACACATAACAGCAGCCGTACCTTTAAACACCCGCTGGTGTCGCGCGTAGGGGCGCATTTTACCTATTAATTAGTGCGTATAGCCCCCCGTGAAATGGCATACTTACTCGGCGTGAGGGCAACAAACACGTCGAAGAGCAGCCCCAGCGCCTTCTCTCCTGTGGTAGGACGATCTGCTTGCTCCATAATTTCTTGAGTTAAATTTTCAGTTTAACGCGCTTCTAAAGGCAGTCTGTGATGATACAGAGCATATATCCCGTCCAACCAGCAAAATTGGTCTGAATGGGGCACAATGAGGAGGGAGGTCGAGCAGCAAAGAGGCATCGCAAACCGAGTGGACGCGATTCATAGTATATACAATATGCAAACCAATTTGATAGCCATAACGCTTCTTCGAAACCCACCAAACTCCACGGAATAAAACACATTGCATCACTTGTTCAAAGGAACGCAGCGACGGCCTCACTACTCAAGCGGAAAGTGGGCACTTTACCACGGACAAGTTTGACAGCAGTCGCGTAACTCAAAAATACGGTCGACTTGTGCCCATACACATCAAAATCAAAGCCCAGTGCAGGCAAGCTCGCAATAAACATCCTCACAGTAAATCGAGGCTCAAAACTATGGGAAAAATAAGAACAACGGCGAAATAAATGACTCAGCCGCCCCAACCACACAAACTCCAATACGCAACTTAGCAACTAGCCTTGCTCAAAGTACGTGTTTCTTGCGAGCTGGTCGGTACTATGTCGTATACCAACAAAGTCAAACGTACTTACCCTGCCCCAACATTTTCTAGTATCCCCAGGACGCAAACAACGGAACAAAATCCGGATAATCACGGCGGTATGCAAGACAGCGTCGACACCAGACCACCGCCACGTGCGGATGCTCTCGACCACCAAAAACAGTACTTGCGCCCCAAACGAAGGAAACCCTTTATGTAACCTCGTACGATTACCCCTAGGCGTTACAGCCGAACATTGGGCACTGCACTACCATGCGAAACAGAGCGGAGGTTTGTCGGAGGGATCTAAGCAGATTAAAACATCCGGAAGCTGTGCCTGAAGGAGACCGTACTCGCTACTCCGGTGCCCGCGCCTCTCCAGGCAACTCGGCCCCTGCCGGACAGCATTAGCGTCATTCGCTTTGAGGACTTGCTCAGGCTCAACGCAAGGTCACCAGTGTCCTTCCCTTCGAGCGATACCCTCGAGCTTGATCCCTGTCGATTGAGGGCGTGTGTCAGTTTAAAACATCCGAAAGCTCTGCCTGAGGGAGACCGTACTCCCTACTCCAGTGCCCTCGCCTCTCCGGGCAACTCGGCCCCTGCCGGAAAGCACTAGCGTCATTCGCTTTGAGGTGTTGCTCAGGCTCCACGCAAAGTCACCAGTGTCCTTCCCTTCGAGCGTTACCCTCGAGCTCGATCCCTGCCGATGGAATTGGGGCGTGTGTCGGTCGAGGAAAGGAGAAAACGGGCACGGCTGCTCCGATCAGGGTGACCAAGGACAGATCGCCGCAAAGAGGCTAAACAAATTCCGAGCGGTTAAACAATTAGTGGTGCTAAATATCAAAGTTGCTTTCACGGTTCTACATTGTTTACAACACGGCAAGAGGGCGGCAGTTGTCGCGAACAGCTCGAGGTAAACACGGTGCTATCTACGCTCAAGCCGGCCAGTCTCGAAACATCTGCTGCCACAATCCATCATCCCCAACACCTCGAACCCCTCGTCTGCACTAAACCTCGCCTCCCTATCGTCTGTCACATCCATGTAGGAGCTTTGATCTCTCACCGCACCAGCGTCCAAGTCGCGTCGGTATGTTACGCCGATCGCCCCCTTGCCGAATCCCGACCCCACCAAGTCCAGCACGTTCGCGGAAGCCCGGACGTCCGAAGCTTTGTCCGGGCTGTGGGTCGCACAAACGAAGAACACACACACGTACGGCTGCCGAGTCAAGACGTGCGAGCACCACCATGTCTACTGCATGCTTCTGGTTCTGCTACTGCTGTTTGCCGAGACATAATACCCGTCGGGGTGAGGAAATCTTGGCGGACGGCTTTGACTTCCATCCACAACACACGACACATCTGGACGTACCGTTGCTGATGCTGGTGGAAGGAGAATCTGCCGCCGTTTCAAAGCGGTAGCAGTATTCCCATCTGCCCCATTGGCGAGGTCAAGAGCGCAGCTTCTAGCGTTCCGAGAAATACCAAGCAAACCAGTTTTCGGTGGTACGGGGCACGCACACAATTGCATCGACAATTCACATTGTCGACACTGCTGCTGCAGCTGCTGTACACATTGACACATGCAGATGTTTACCTGTGCGACCCAACCAATGTTGCGACCGGATCTCCCTGAGAAGGGAGCATCAGCTTCCCGTCGAAGTTGCTGTTAAGCTTGGCCACGATGCTAAGGTGGCCCTCCTTCGTGTTGATGTCGTGAGCAATGGCGATCACCATGGGGGTGGCTTCTTGCAAGGCGAAGGGAAACGACACTGGGTTGCTTGTCCACTTCAACGGGCCAAGCACGCCGCCCTCCTGACGAGTGTTTTGGGGACACGAAAACAAAACTAGGCGACTGAGAAGAACATTGTCGATGGATTTTGAAGTTCAACTTCTAGGTGAGGGCAAGGCCAGGGTCCCAGCCAGCGGCGCCACAAACACGACCATTGTTTATGCCTCTCAGCGACCTTGCACGGAATGCTGGACAGCGAGGACTTCAGGGTGCACACGCTAGTACTACTGCTGCATTGCTGTTGCGAAGGCATGGTTCATGCGCAAGGTATACAACAGCAGACTTGTTTAGAGCATGCCCACACACGAAGGCACAACAGCAGCCATTGTCGGTAGGGGAGAAGCGACAACCGGTTGCCATGTTCTATGATCAGGCAGAAGGGGCATACCCGACGTAGGCAGTGCTCACCTTCTCGCTCGCCTTCAAAGTCGTCGAAAACATCCCGAGCTCCTCGTTCCGGATCGATCCTTCCACTACGGCCGTCTTTTCCTGCGGAGGTCGTAAACGACAGCCGTCAAGTAGATGTTATTGAGCGTATAGCCTATCGGGGGGAGTGTAGTGAAACTGTAGATCCAACCCCCCCCCGGTTCTTGCTGCTGCATGTCGGCCCTATGGTACGATTCACACTGCCCGTCATTTGCTGCCCTAAAATCGTCCCTTTCAGCAGTTGCAAATGTCATGGATGTAGGCTACCTGGGGTACCGAGCATGCACGCGTAGTTCTTTTGCTGTACCTGCAGCTACAAACTAAAGTGCCTAATGAAGGCGGGTTGGAACAATCTACCTGAGGGTCAACGGTTACCGTCCCGAAAGCTTTTCCGTACGCGGTGTCCGTGCTCGATGACGCGCTGCAGCAAGGACAAAAAAGGGAGGCCAACGAGAGGATTCTTGCTTCAGCGCCTCCTCGGAAAATCATCGTTACAGTTATGCAGGTACTAGATAGGGCGGGGTAATGAGCCGCTGGGTAGCGACTCAATACCTTGCACAAGTCTTGTCTGCGATGCTGATGGTGCACGAATCCCGACACGCAGCAGCGTGAATCGTTTGATGTGCAGCTACGCGCGTGCACCAGAGGGACAGGCTGCAGGGGTGCGACGGGCGCGACGATGGTTGTATGTGTGGCCCCGTTCAAGATGTTGCACTTTCCATGCGGTTGTTTCTTTTCCGTCGATGCACATGCATTCACACCCCACGAAGAAACAAAGTGTGAAGTCTTCCCGCTGTGCGGACGCAAAAACACGCACATCATCAGGGCATCTGGAAGAGAGGCACGCATGCGGCATGCACCTGGCGGCGAACGTATCACACATCACGCCGTCGAGGAGCACGACCAGCAGCGTAGACATAGGATTGTGACAAGACAGATGGCAAAAATTGCGTCAGGCTCACAGCTTACCCGCCACATTCGTCTCAAGCCTTCCGAGTTTCCCGCCAAGTGAAAGTAAACAGTCTACATTGCGAAGACAGTAGCGCGGCGCAAGTACGCAACCTGAACCGACCCCGCGAGGAACCATCCCGAAAACGCACAGCAGCAGTAGCCCCTCACGCCCTCGACGGATCCTCTCGATGGTTGGTGTGACCTCTGGACTTGGAAGGTGTGCTATGTTGTGTGTTGTTCGTTTGTGATAAAATAATCGGTCTGTTATTTGTTGTTTTGGGAGCGCTCGGTTGGACCACTCAACACCAATAAACACCCGCCAGGTTACACAAACGGCGCATGACCATGCCCACGATGCACAGGTCGTATAGGCCCGGCCCCTCNATGTGCAGCTACGCGCGTGCACCAGAGGGACAGGCTGCAGGGGTGCGACGGGCGCGACGATGGTTGTATGTGTGGCCCCGTTCAAGATGTTGCACTTTCCATGCGGTTGTTTCTTTTCCGTCGATGCACATGCATTCACACCCCACGAAGAAACAAAGTGTGAAGTCTTCCCGCTGTGCGGACGCAAAAACACGCACATCATCAGGGCATCTGGAAGAGAGGCACGCATGCGGCATGCACCTGGCGGCGAACGTATCACACATCACGCCGTCGAGGAGCACGACCAGCAGCGTAGACATAGGATTGTGACAAGACAGATGGCAAAAATTGCGTCAGGCTCACAGCTTACCCGCCACATTCGTCTCAAGCCTTCCGAGTTTCCCGCCAAGTGAAAGTAAACAGTCTACATTGCGAAGACAGTAGCGCGGCGCAAGTACGCAACCTGAACCGACCCCGCGAGGAACCATCCCGAAAACGCACAGCAGCAGTAGCCCCTCACGCCCTCGACGGATCCTCTCGATGGTTGGTGTGACCTCTGGACTTGGAAGGTGTGCTATGTTGTGTGTTGTTCGTTTGTGATAAAATAATCGGTCTGTTATTTGTTGTTTTGGGAGCGCTCGGTTGGACCACTCAACACCAATAAACACCCGCCAGGTTACACAAACGGCGCATGACCATGCCCACGATGCACAGGTCGTATAGGCCCGGCCCCTCCTGGTTATCATAGATAGCTGGTCTCTGATCAGCGTCCTGTTGTTCTCCTTTTGCTGATGTGGTGTTGTCCTCCCGGGGTTTGAACTCTACCGCGTGTCTCTGTGTGTGTGCAGTGTGCAATCTCCAATAGCTTGGGCATTTTACCTCTCCACATCTCCTGGGCATCCGAGGATGCGATTTCCTACGAATTTGGGAATTTGGGTCACATATACCTGTGAAGCGCCGCCATCTGTTGCCGAAGCACGACCAAACCGGTGTGACGGAGAGCGCGTATTCTTTCTTCTTCCTCAGAAGTGAACAGATCGTCAAACGGTGCCCTATAGGTCTCGTTCTGGTCCGAAAGGTGCGACAATACATGTCACGGGAATCAAACTTTGGGCCCCTACAACACGCGGCGGAACTAATGCCGATATTTAGAGCCTTTTTTTCCCTCCTGGGAGATGAAGGGAAGAAGGTCGCGCTTCGCGCTCCACGGCTCATTATTTGATAATCCCATGCAAGTGGTTGTGGACGCATATCGCGCGCCAGAGAACTCAGCACGGCGGTGTACACAAATTTATTGGGTGCTACTTCTTGAACAGCAGTCATCACGAAAAGACAGGCGGGAAGCGGGATGCGAGGTACGGCACCTTAGACCAGCCGGCAGGAGGCGATCCTTGTTCAACACGTACGAAGCCTTGCCACTGACGCCCTTGGACAGTTGCCCATCATAGTTCCCTAACGAGCAAAAGCGTGCCACCAGGAGGACAAATTGTGATGATCCAATTTTGGTGGTCCTTAGAATCCTCTCCTCACGACGATAACATGAATACGATCAAGCTCCGCCTACCGCGATACACAGCCTGTTGCTTTTCTGTAACGCACGAACCGCACATCGTGCGCAGACAACTGCTCTTTCGATGTTTCACTCCGCCAAACCCACATGCCGTGGTCCAGAACACACCGCACAAGGCTGCATCAGCAGTTGAATAGATGTGCAGTTGAACAGATGTGTAAGCATGCGTTGGCTTCCACTTGTGAGGCATCGGCTGCATACCATGCATTTCACAGCGTTTTTGGTGCTATTACTTGAGACAGAGAGCGGTTCGTAGTTCAGCTAACTACCGAAGTACATTGCAACATGTACGCAGCAGTCAAGCCAATTGCCTCGAACCTCGGATGTTCAGCGATTGGATCCCTTCGATAGCGCCCAGGTCTTTGATATTGATCGAAACTGTCCCGCCCGCCGACGCTCTCGCGAGAACATGAAAGAGCACCAAAACGCGTAGCCCCTTCCAGCCTCCCATGATGCTTGCCATTCTGCTGCAGGTGCTTGCTTGAGGGATGAAGTGCAAATGCCTCAGAACTGCTGTAGATTGCTGCAGAAGTTGAATGTGGTAGGACAACGGTGAATCCAGATTGATCGTTGAGGTAAAGAAAAGAGTCCAACACCGACGTCCGGCAAGCTGATCACCGCAGTGACAGAGCAGCAGTGGGCAGTAGAGATCGTTGCTTTGCAGAGCTGTCAAGCAACACGACTCGAGTTTAGGGACTCCGTGAATATATGGTTCGGTTCGCATACCCATGATGAGGAAGAAGGGTTCGCGCCGCAGTTGTCGTCACCACCACCGCGCTTGCCACACACAACACGACGCTACCGCACGGTCTCAAATGAAAGCGTCCACGAGCCTTGCCGCCGCTTTGATCTGCCGGAGCTCCTTGGCGTGGCAATCGACTTTGAGAATGGCCGCCAATGTTCAGTTTGTCACGAACCAGAAGTGTCCATACGCCCAGAGTAAGCTCTCCGGTTATCATGATGATGGTCATGTGCGGTGGTCTGTGTAGACTACATAGTATCCGGTCGCCCCGGTGGTCTAGTGGGTAACCTCGCAGCGTGCTAAGGGCCAGGTCATGGGTTCGAGTCCCGGCAGAGTGAGTTTTTTTCTCACTAAATAAATCCTGGTCTAGGATGAAAGCGACGCGTCGCGAAGCTCGTTGTTAGTAAACCATAATCAACTTCGTAAATCGCGAGGGAAGGGATTGCTGTACCCTTCTCGCGATAAAAATACCTCAGGCAGGAACCGCAGGAGGGGGTCCAGCCCCCCCCTCCTATGTGACCCCGGTTGGGTCGTCTAGCTAGTAGAAGTGGAGGATAGGGGCCAGAGGGGCAGACGACAGAGACCAATGATGGGAGAAGAAAAAAAAAGGATTATAGGTCTACATATTTAGTCTAGTCTATTCCGGTCATTCCATTCGACACCGCAGAAAAGGGAGTTGGTTACACACTTAGTGATTGATCTCCTTTGTTTTGTGGATGACCATATCCCTACCCGCGTGATGTATGGCACATGCGGGGCGGCTTCGTGGAGCATGTCTCTTCTGCTGGCAATAATCGATGAAGGAGTAACATCAACAGTTTGACTGCGTGACAGGAACTTGGATCGCTCTCGAAGAATCCCACACCGCATACGAGATGAAGGAAGTTTCTCTCTACGGATCCGGAGGTGAGCCTTGTTCAACATCCTTCCATAACTGCCGGCATGTTTGCAGTGGTTGATGAGGGACGTAAACTCTCAAGACCTTGTACCAACCACGTTCCGCGGCGTGTGACCAAACACAGCTCGCACGCGAAGAACCTGACACTCCCGACCACATGCGTTCTACAATCCCACAGGTAAACCCTCTTGGTTCATGGACCTCAACCCCAAAGGAGAGGTTCCTGTCCTCGTGGTGGACGGAAAACCTATCGCAGGATCGGAGGAAACCGTAGACTTTCTCATGCCGGGTGAGCTCAGCCCGGAGGCCTTACGATGGCGCTCGATCGTGAATGATCGATTGAAGTCAGCTGGCAAGCGAGCAGTTTTTTCAGGAGGTTCCGAGACGGATCGGAATAGCCTTAACGCCGTGCTCCAAGACCTGGAGGCATGCCTTTCGGACGGACCAGAACGAGCGAGCGAGTTCACAGCAGCAGACGCTTCGGCCTTCCCTTTCTTGCAGCGCGTTCATGGGGAGTTTGGTTTCCCGAGCGAGTGCAAACGGCTAGAGGCGTGGTACGCGTCGGCCAGCAGTCGACCGGGTGTTCGAAAGACGATCAAGCAAGACTTTTGGTGGTGGTGGTAATGCTTTCCACGAATGGTTTGCCCTTCTTCACTGGTGTGCTTCGTATTTGGTGATCGCTCGTTTTTGCGGCATGGGGTTACTGCGGGGCCAAGGGGGGAAGGGTATGTAAGCTTCGATCCATGTTCCATGTTTTACTGATTTCTACCCTGGCTTGCAAGACAGGGGAGGGTTAAAAACATATTTTTAGTCCTGTGCACGTTGCGAGATGGTCTGAAATAAGCGAGTACAGTTGTCCTTTTGGTTCATCTCTCGAAGGAACCAAGCCGGCTATCCTATCCTTCTTTTCTGAGCTATCCTCTCGAAGACCATTTGCAGCACATCTGGTGCCGTGATAGCGTCCGCCATCGCCCTCAGAGAAAAATCGCCGCCCGCCCTTGCGCCTGCGGCGCCATTTTCTGCAATTCACGGTCGGTGAGCGCGCGGACAGAAACCGTTATTTTAGCGATCACTTCTTTGAAGTTCAGGGGTGGTGTCGGCAAGAAAACGCAAGAGAGCTGGCATGAATAGAGAGATGCACTTGGCTTGATTTTCCAAACTGCTTAGTTCAACAACGGTAGCGACATGGACGACACGCACCATGATCACTTGCTTCTTCTTCCGGGTGGGTATTCAGCCCTTGAAAAGCGAGGCTGGCAACCGCCAACGTCTCCTCAAAAGGCCACACCGCTTCTTCCGTAGGATTCAGCCAACCCGCACCAACCTGAAAACCAAAGAAAGTAAATGTTCGGCATCAAAACGAAGTGGAACGAAATATGTGTACTCCGTATGCATTCCACCTGCGAGTATGTTGAGTGGAAGACTCTCGCCATGTGAAGCTGTATGGTCACCCGCTTTCTACCAAAACAACTGGAAAGGTGACGAGGCTATCTTGCGCGCCTGCGCACGCAATCTGGCAAAAACTATCACATACCTCGGCATCAAGTCCGCCCGCAAGAGATGTCATGAGCACACGCGCCACACTCTCTTTGGCGCGGTCTTCCGAATCATTGGGAGCGTCGACCCAAACGTTGACGCTCAGCGAAGTGTCTATCGCCTCCACAAAGTGCCACCAGTGCTTTGGGACGAAAAGGACATCTCCTGGCTCAAGCGTGACAGGCAGTGGATGCGCCTCTGCAAACTGAGGAAACCTTGCGAGGAGAAATTGTCGACAGGGGAAAGTGCACGTGTAGCGAGGGATAGTAAAAAATCCCAACACTACGGACGTAACACACCGACCCGAAACGACACATACCGGCATCCGCCAGTGGACCGCAAACGGAGAACACTCTTGATTTGCCGCAGCAAAGACTCTTGCACGGCCCCAAACGTTGCACGCATATCAGCGAAGCACCCGATGGCAGTATATTGTGCGGGGCACTCCGCGCTTACACACAACACGCTTTCCACGACGGCCTCAGAGCCCACCTGACAAGGTCTGGCGCTCTGGCATCCACCTGGCTGAAGACACTGCTCTCTTCGTACGGTATCCGGGTTGGCGCAAGGGTCGTTGTGTCAGCTGGAGGGTAGAGGAGCCATTTTTTTCTGCCGTGCAGTTGGGCCACCTGGGCATGAAGCGTGAGGCATGTTGCTTTAGACTCGACACATCGACGTTTGTATCCTCATGTACAGCAGTAGAGGTCCCTGTTTTAAGGCCGCATATCTAAGGCCGGCTGCCCTGAGTAAGAAATCGCTTGGCACACATGGAATATTCAAGTTTTCTCATATTCTGAACAGTGCCGGGTGTCCGATATAGGGCCGGTGTTTTCCCTTGGGCCATAGCAGCCTTGGACAGGAACCTCTACTATAGTAGCATGAGCCGAAACGCAAGCGTCCGAGTCCTTCAGCGTGTGCGCCACCAAGGCCCATCAATGCCAAGGGGCCGGCAGGCGAAGGGGATTGACGTCACATGCGAGGCACGCTGGTACGGTGCAAGAGAAGCTTAGTTACGCCGCCTCACCAGATTGATGCCATAGGTGTCGAAGTGGAGAGGCGTGTGAGAGCCCCCCGTACCCAACCACAGTGTGGAGTCCGTCGCAGCTTTCTCGCAGCCCAGTGTCGACCAATCAATTATCGGTTCTAGAGCCTTCACCCAGTCATCTTCGAGCTCCTTAACGGGTATAGCGATAACGTCGTCGCAGCAAACTCCGAGCGGTGGGTCTCATCGTCTCGCCTGCACTGGTGAAAAACGCTTGTTGTGAGTGCTGTCATACCACGACGTTGTAGGACACCCGCCAGACAAGCCGGATCAACACGTACAGTATCGCCCGTTGGAATGGCGCGTCGAACCTACCTTCAAGTGCTTATAGTCCGCGTACGCCCAGTGAGATTTCCTGAGACGAAACGGGACCGGGCGAAAGGAAACGGGGCGGGGGTGGCTTGGTGGGGGCAAGTTGCCGACTTGCACCAACTTAGTCACATTTGCCGGCACAGTGCTGAAAAATCACGAGTGAAAACAGGGCAGAATAAAAAAAGGCTGTTATCGACGAAACTACAGTACGTCAGTATCTCACCGATCGTAATGTCTGAAAGGGTTACCACCCTCTGCACAGAGCGGTTCGGCCGACCTTTCCCACTCCAGAAACTGGCCTACAGAGGCTTCCAGGAAGATGCAGTCCGCCTCCCACACCGTGCTGACACCCAGCGCATGAACCCGCCATGTGGTCCTTAGGCACTTGACACCAGGGTTCTACTGCACATATCGCAGAACGACCGATAATAGAAGGCACGAAGGACAGGCGTAAGCACGGAAAGCGAATCAGCGATATGCATCTTGTGTCGCCAACAACCAGCCGGTCGATGCATCAATCTATGAGGTTGTGCGCAATGCTTCGAGGTGACATGTCAAAGGCTGATCCACAATTGCTACCGCCAGCATAGGTTGATTTGACGGCGCGAGCACCGCAATTGGACTTCGAACAGTAGGTGTTCCGATATAGTGCCGGTATGTGTCCAGGCGATTTGACCGGCACTATACCGGGCACCGGCACTATTCAGAATTGAGCTTGAATAGTGCCAAACGGCACTATTCAGGACTGTTCGACTTCAGAGTGCAGCGCTTGCGCTTTGCGGGGCTGACAGAGTACCAAACGAACGGTATTTGGACCAATCGTGGGGTGGGCGACGTGGGCGAGTTTCATTAAGTTTCGTGGGGCTCTTGGACTGTCGAAAACACGGCACTGGTCACATTAAAATTAACTTGATTGACCAAATAGATTTGTTGCACAGCAGTTGTTCTCGTCCCACCTCGGCGCAAGAACTCGCTAGTGAAACGTTGCTGCTGCCTTTCAACTGTAGACTGTGCTGCCCGATAAAAGNAGCTTGAATAGTGCCAAACGGCACTATTCAGGACTGTTCGACTTCAGAGTGCAGCGCTTGCGCTTTGCGGGGCTGACAGAGTACCAAACGAACGGTATTTGGACCAATCGTGGGGTGGGCGACGTGGGCGAGTTTCATTAAGTTTCGTGGGGCTCTTGGACTGTCGAAAACACGGCACTGGTCACATTAAAATTAACTTGATTGACCAAATAGATTTGTTGCACAGCAGTTGTTCTCGTCCCACCTCGGCGCAAGAACTCGCTAGTGAAACGTTGCTGCTGCCTTTCAACTGTAGACTGTGCTGCCCGATAAAAGTTCACCTCGCTATCAAATTATGTGTTGTATTGCAAGAAGGCCGTAGCACTATTATTCTTCAGGCAACCTCAAAGGCACCCCCGACAGCGAAAGAAAGACGCTCATGCATGCACCCGGTGTACATTTGGAGGTAAAACATGGATGGATGTAGTGCTCCTTACATGAGCACCCAAAAAAAGCAGATGCAACCTAAAAAAGTAAAGAAGATAACGAACTCCCCTGTTCCTTCGATAAAAAGCTAGAGAGAAGACCAAGCCTTCAGAAACAAGAAAAACGACTGGCCAACCAAAAGACGTCGTCAGTCTCAGTGCGGTCAAAAACAGAAAATATTTGGTTGTCAAGAAAGTGAGGAGGTGTCGTGGAGGAGGCTGAGCTATTCTCTGCATAAAAGACAGAAATGGTGGCAACCGAGAGAGGGGAACTACGTGACTGCCAAGGCTTGCTACTTTTGAACACGCGTTTGTTCGGAGGTTTTCATCCTTCCTGAGAAGTATTTTATTTACCACCACTACACTCTTCACGAATATCTTTCCACTATTTTTCGGGCTTTCATCTCTGGATTCTGCGCCCCTGCGGCGTTTGTTGTGACGAAGGTCATCTCGCTCGAAACTCTTGTTCCCCTCAACGCCGCCATATTTTCCTCGTGCATCATCACTGCTATCCTTGGCTAACGTTTCCATATCCATCCTTCGTCACTACCACCATCTTCGTTTTCGCTCGCCTCCCTACTGAAATCCCAGCCTATTGGTGGAACCTAGTCGATCGGTAAACCGTGACATTTGAAGACGTCACGCGTACCGAGAGAAACCGAGCTATACTTGTAGCTCGAAGGGAAACCGTCTTCGAACCCTGTTGGCGTCGAAGGGTTGATGCGAAAAAAGGCTGTGTGGGGTGTGAACCGGCACTGTTGAGGGGTTCGATAGTGCCTGAACCGGCACTACAGCGGGCAGCCCTCAATAGTGCCGGTTTGGCACAATTCAGGCCTGTGTCTGTGTCAAGAAAATTTACCGGCACCATACCGGACTTTGGCACTCTTCAACCGGCACTATATCGGAACACCTACTGTACTGCAGTAGGATCGAAGAGCTTACCAACACATGCCCTCGGCCTCCCGTATGTTGTTGTTGTTGTTGTTGTTGTTGTTGTTGTTGTTGTTTCTCACATTAGCTCTATAGTCCACAAAAAATGGGGAGCCCGTGGTCTCAAAACCCGGCACATTCGACGCCGCGGAAAAAAAAAACAAAAACAAAAATAAAGGAGGACGCTTCCCACACCCGCCGAAAGAAAAAATCAAAGGGTAACGTACAGCACCAGGCACTGCGCACCAGGGCATGGGAGTAATGGAGCAAAGAGGCGGCATATGAGCAGACAGCCAGACGTACAAAAACAAAGGCAACAGCCAAGCGAGATCAAGGTACCCAACACAGCAGAGTAGGCAGGGAGGTAACGAAGAAATGAAACACAGCACAGAGGCCGAAGGCAATACAAAGGACATACATAAAGGAGTATAGCATACAGCAAGGAGGGAAACAGGGCGCAACAACATCAGCCGGGT